TTTTAAAGCTGGGGAACCTAACTTTCAATCCACAATTCCTCGCTCTGAAAGAGTTTGCATCCGTCACTAGTTTTCTCGTGTGTTTTAGCCTCTGTCACGTCTTTAGATCAGCTTTTTCAGACAGAAAAGTGAAAAACAGGACCACCCCATGTTTAAGTCTTCTACACACACTTCTTAATGTAAAATTATAAATTAAATGTTATTTACTTTGGATTCAGCTCCTCTTGGACTTCGCCATCGCTCACAGCTGCAAAGATTCAACATAGTTAGTCATGTTATTTCAGAAATACAAGAACATATTTATATTATAATTTAAAGAGACTCACGGGTTGGTGGGCGCTTGGCTGAAACAGAAATAGGACTCATTAAGAACAGAAGTATAATACCCAGCTATGACACGGACAATAAAATAAATGTAGGTCTTACCGTTCTTCTTTTTGTGGATGAAAACCCCACAGCAGCAGCTGTGAACGAGACTGGGCCGTTTACAGTACATTGCTCTGGGCGGGGGGCTGCTGACGTCAGGTCCAACTTGCAGACGTCAGGTCTTGCTTCAGACGTCAGGTCTTGCTGCAGACGTCAGCCCTTGCTGCAGACGTCAGCCCTTGCTGCAGACGTCAGCCCCTGCTGCTGCGCCAATGGTGGCGCCAGATTCAAAATTCAAATGTAGTAATACAGGTCGCCTGCAGATGGCGCCTCACAGACGGTTTTAGGCAGAAAGTCTAACTTTCAACTAATTTGCACCAAAGTGACAAGATTATGACCAGGATATGTAGACAACACTATTGGACACTCATTTATACCGTTTATCAGCAAAAAAAAGTGGATTTGAGGGTGAGTTGTCCTTTAAATGTTTGAGCAAATCTCTTACTTCAACCTGGATGCTGCTGTAAACTATCGAATGCACTTCTTTTTCAACATTTACCAAAACACCTGGATTTATACTAATACACGACACCTCATTTATATCGCTTTGTCTTTTTGACCTCAGTTGCCTTCATTTCCGAATTTATAATGTTTTTTCTCAATTTGAATGATACTAAATGTTATAAAGATATACAACAAATGTGGCCAACTAACCATCTTACTCAGACCCACCTTAACCCTAACCTTAACCATCTTACTCAGACCACCTTAACCCTAACCTTAACCATCTTATCTTACATCTCAGACCACCTTAACCCTAACCTTAACCATCTCACTCAGACCACCTTAACCCTAACCTTAACCATCTTACTCAGACCACCTTAACGCTAACCTTAACCATCTTACTCAGACCACCTTAACCCTAACCTTAACCATCTAACTCAGACCCACCTTAACCCTAACCTTAACCATCTTACTCAGACCACCTTAACCCTAACCTTAACCATCTTACTCAGACCACCTTAACCCTAACCTTAACCATCTTACTCAGACCCACCTTAACCCTAACCTTAACCATCTTACTCAGACCACCTTAACCCTAACCTTAACCATCTTACTCAGACCACCTTAACCCTAACCTTAACCATCTTACTCAGACCACCTTAACCCTAACCTTAACCATCTTACTCAGACCACCTTAACCCTAACCTTAACCATCTTACTCAGACCACCTTAACCCTAACCTTAACCATCTTACTCAGACCACCTTAACCCTAACCTTAACCATCTTACTCAGACCACCTTAACCCTAACCTTAACCATCTTACTCAGACCACCTTAACCCTAACCTTAACCATCTTACTCAGACCCACCTTAACCCTAACCTTAACCATCTTACTCAGACCCACCTTAACCCTAACCTTAACCATCTTACTCAGACCACCTTAACCCTAACCTTAACCATCTTACTCAGACCACCTTAACGCTAACCTTAACCATCTTACTCAGACCACCTTAACCCTAACCTTTACCATCTTACTCAGACCACCTTAACCCTAACCTTAACCATCTTACTCAGACCACCTTAACCCTAACCTTAACCATCTTACTCAGACCACCTTAACCCTAACCTTAACCATCTTACTCAGACCCACCTTAACCCTAACCTTAACCATCTTACTCAGACCACCTTAACCCTAACCTTAACCATCTTACTCAGACCACCTTAACGCTAACCTTAACCATCTTACTCAGACCACCTTAACCCTAACCTTAACCATCTTACTCAGACCACCTTAACGCTAACCTTAACCATCTTACTCAGACCACCTTAACCCTAACCTTAACCATCTTACTCAGACCACCTTAACCCTAACCTTAACCATCTTACTCAGACCACCTTAACCCTAACCTTAACCATCTTACTCAGACCACCTTAACGCTAACCTTAACCATCTTACTCAGACCACCTTAACCCTAACCTTAACCATCTTACTCAGACCACCTTAACCATCATTACTCAGTCCCACCTTAACCCTAACCTTAACCATCTTACTCAGACCACCTTAACCCTAACCTTAACCATCTTACTCAGACCACCTTAAGCCTAACCTTAACCATCTCACTCAGACCACCTTAACTCTAACCTTAACCATCTTACTCAGACCACCTTAACTCTAACCTTAACCATCTTACTCAGACCACCTTAACCCTAACCTTAACCATCTTACTCAGACCACCTTAACCCTAACCTTAACCATCTTACTCAGACCACCTTAACGCTAACCTTAACCATCTTACTCAGACCACCTTAACCCTAACCATAACCATCTTACTCAGACCACCTTAACGCTAACCTTAACCATCTTACTCAGACCACCTTAACCCTAACCTTAACCATCTTACTCAGACCACCTTAACCCTAACCTTAACCATCTTACTCAGACCCACCTTAACCCTAACCTTAACCATCTTACTCAGACCACCTTAACCCTAACCATAACCATCTTACTCAGACCACCTTAACGCTAACCTTAACCATCTTACTCAGACCACCTTAACCCTAACCTTAACCATCTTACTCAGACCACCTTAACCCTAACCTTAACCATCTTACTCAGACCACCTTAACCCTAACCTTAACCATCTTACTCAGACCACCTTAACGCTAACCTTAACCATCTTACTCAGACCACCTTAACCCTAACCTTAACCATCTTACTCAGACCACCTTAACCATCTTACTCAGTCCCACCTTAACCCTAACCTTAACCATCTTACTCAGACCACCTTAACCCTAACCTTAACCATCTTACTCAGACCACCTTAAGCCTAACCTTAACCATCTCACTCAGACCACCTTAACTCTAACCTTAACCATCTTACTCAGACCACCTTAACTCTAACCTTAACCATCTTACTCAGACCACCTTAACCCTAACCTTAACCATCTTACTCAGACCACCTTAACCCTAACCTTAACCATCTTACTCAGACCACCTTAACGCTAACCTTAACCATCTTACTCAGACCACCTTAACCCTAACCTTAACCATCTTACTCAGACCACCTTAACCCTAACCTTAACCATCTTACTCAGACCACCTTAACCCTAACCTTAACCATCTTACTCAGACCCACCTTAACCCTAACCTTAACCATCTTACTCAGACCCACCTTAACCCTAACCTTAACCATCTTACTCAGACCACCTTAACCCTAACCTTAACCATCTTACTCAGACCACCTTAACGCTAACCTTAACCATCTTACTCAGACCACCTTAACCCTAACCTTTACCATCTTACTCAGACCACCTTAACCCTAACCTTAACCATCTTACTCAGACCACCTTAACCCTAACCTTAACCATCTTACTCAGACCACCTTAACCCTAACCTTAACCATCTTACTCAGACCACCTTAACGCTAACCTTAACCATCTTACTCAGACCACCTTAACCCTAACCTTAACCATCTTACTCAGACCCACCTTAACCCTAACCTTAACCATCTTACTCAGACCACCTTAACCCTAACCTTAACCATCTTACTCAGACCACCTTAACGCTAACCTTAACCATCTCACTCAGACCACCTTAACCCTAACCTTAACCATCTTACTCAGACCCACCTTAACCCTAACCTTAACCATCTCACTCAGACCACCTTAACCCTAACCTTAACCATCTTACTCAGACCCACCTTAACGCTAACCTTAACCATCTTACTCAGACCACCTTAACGCTAACCTTAACCATCTTACTCAGACCACCTTAACCCTAACCTTAACCATCTTACTCAGACCACCTTAACCCTAACCTTAACCATCTTACTCAGACCACCTTAACGCTAACCTTAACCATCTTACTCAGACCCACCTTAACCCTAACCTTAACCATCTTACTCAGACCACCTTAACGCTAACCTTAACTATCTTACTCAGACCACCTTAACGCTAACCTTAACCATCTTACTCAGACCACCTTAACCATCTTACTCAGTCCCACCTTAACCCTAACCTTAACCATCTTACTCAGACCACCTTAACCCTAACCTTAACCATCTCACTCAGACCACCTTAACCCTAACCTTAACCATCTCACTCAGACCACCTTAACGCTAACCTTAACTATCTTACTCAGACCACCTTAACGCTAACCTTAACCATCTTACTCAGACCACCTTAACCCTAACCTTAACCATCTAACTCAGACCACCTTAACCCTAACCTTAACCATCTTACTCAGACCCACCTTAACCCTAACCTTAACCATCTTACTCAGATCCACCTTAACCCTAACCTTAACCATCTTACTCAGACCACCTTAACTCTAACCTTAACCATCTTACTCAGACCACCTTAACCCTAACCTTAACCATCTTACTCAGACCCACCTTAACCCCAACCTTAACCATCTTACTCAGACCACCTTAACCCTAACCTTAACCATCTTACTCAGACCACCTTAACCCTAACCTTAACCATCTTACTCAGACCACCTTAACTCTAACCTTAACCATCTTACTCAGACCACCTTAACCCTAACCTTAACCATCTTACTCAGACCACCTTAACCTGTGAATTTTGTTCTTAAAAAGATAAGAAGATGGCGCCAAAACCAACTAAATTTCACAAACAAACTGACAACCCAAGTCAGATCGGAGACAAATCATGGAAAAACAGAAAAGCCACGGACAAGAAACACTCTTACATACATGGTCCCTATATATCGGGACCATGTATATTTGTTTATGTAATTTAAAATATTTACTAATTTAAAATACTTACTATTAGAAAGTGGACGACCGTAATCAATAATAGAGATACACAGAAGAAAATGATGTAAGAAAAGTGTATGGAGTTCTGAAGCCAAGTCACTGTATAGAAAGTGTGCTGGATTCAGGGGCTTGTGCAGTTAAAAGACATTTGTAATTGCGTCTCGTCGTCCCACCACTTTAATTCCACAGTAACCTTATGTTGTTGTGTGTGTCTCTGCGGCCTTTGACAGAGTTAATAAAGTGTCTCCTGCGTATATATTTCCTGAAGCCACAAATGCCACACTGTTAGTTTTTCCCGCTCCGTAACAGACACTGAAGGCAACACAAAAGATCGCTCAGAGATGGGGGCTGCCTGGTGTATGTTTGAGTGGAGGCCATTAGCAACGGTTTTAGACGCATACAGTGCTTTTAACATGTTTCTAAAAGCAGTTTTTAATTCAGTCTTGTCAAATTTGAATGTTAAAAATGTGACAGAGAAAAGTGGTCCTTTAAACGCCTTGAGTTTAGAGATTTCATGAGGTTTAAAGGAGAAGTCAGTCACTTTAACCAGTGTTTCATTTTTCTAAACTATGCATTTTTTGGACAATAATATCTTGTATTTTAATGTGCAGTAAGTATTTTTATGCAGTCACACATTTAAAGGAGCCCCTCCTCTTCAAACCTACAAACAATACGATTTTCTGGAGGAGAACAGTTAAACCAATGACAAGGGGCCTCAAGGATTTGAATTCATTTCGACCAATCAGGAAGCTGCTGAGTGAGCAGCTTCCTCCCCAATGGGAGAAAAGTGAGAAACCTTGGGAGGCCCACATCTCCCCCACATCTCCTCCAAACCTCCCCCACACCTCCTCCACCTCTCCTCCACATCTCCCCCACATCTCCCCCACATCTCCCCCACACCTCCCCCCCCCCCCCCCCCCCCCCCCCCCCCCCCCCCCCCCCCCCCCCCCCCCCCCCCCCCCCCCCCCCCCCCCCCCCCCCCCCCCCCCCCCCCCCCCCCCCCCCCCCCCCCCCCCCCCCCCCCCCCCCCCCCCCCCCCCCCCCCCCCCCCCCCCCCCCCCCCCCCCCCCCCCCCCCCCCCCCCCCCCCCCCCCCCCCCCCCCCCCCCCCCCCCCCCCCCCCCCCCCCCCCCCCCCCCCCCCCCCCCCCCCCCCCCCCCCCCCCCCCCCCCCCCCCCCCCCCCCCCCCCCCCCCCCCCCCCCCCCCCCCCCCCCCCCCCCCCCCCCCCCCCCCCCCCCCCCCCCCCCCCCCCCCCCCCCCCCCCCCCCCCCCCCCCCCCCCCCCCCCCCCCCCCCCCCCCCCCCCCCCCCCCCCCCCCCCCCCCCCCCCCCCCCCCCCCCCCCCCCCCCCCCCCCCCCCCCCCCCCCCCCCCCCCCCCCCCCCCCCCCCCCCCCCCCCCCCCCCCCCCCCCCCCCCCCCCCCCCCCCCCCCCCCCCCCCCCCCCCCCCCCCCCCCCCCCCCCCCCCCCCCCCCCCCCCCCCCCCCCCCCCCCCCCCCCCCCCCCCCCCCCCCCCCCCCCCCCCCCCCCCCCCCCCCCCCCCCCCCCCCCCCCCCCCCCCCCCCCCCCCCCCCCCCCCCCCCCCCCCCCCCCCCCCCCCCCCCCCCCCCCCCCCCCCCCCCCCCCCCCCCCCCCCCCCCCCCCCCCCCCCCCCCCCCCCCCCCCCCCCCCCCCCCCCCCCCCCCCCCCCCCCCCCCCCCCCCCCCCCCCCCCCCCCCCCCCCCCCCCCCCCCCCCCCCCCCCCCCCCCCCCCCCCCCCCCCCCCCCCCCCCCCCCCCCCCCCCCCCCCCCCCCCCCCCCCCCCCCCCCCCCCCCCCCCCCCCCCCCCCCCCCCCCCCCCCCCCCCCCCCCCCCCCCCCCCCCCCCCCCCCCCCCCCCCCCCCCCCCCCCCCCCCCCCCCCCCCCCCCCCCCCCCCCCCCCCCCCCCCCCCCCCCCCCCCCCCCCCCCCCCCCCCCCCCCCCCCCCCCCCCCCCCCCCCCCCCCCCCCCCCCCCCCCCCCCCCCCCCCCCCCCCCCCCCCCCCCCCCCCCCCCCCCCCCCCCCCCCCCCCCCCCCCCCCCCCCCCCCCCCCCCCCCCCCCCCCCCCCCCCCCCCCCCCCCCCCCCCCCCCCCCCCCCCCCCCCCCCCCCCCCCCCCCCCCCCCCCCCCCCCCCCCCCCCCCCCCCCCCCCCCCCCCCCCCCCCCCCCCCCCCCCCCCCCCCCCCCCCCCCCCCCCCCCCCCCCCCCCCCCCCCCCCCCCCCCCCCCCCCCCCCCCCCCCCCCCCCCCCCCCCCCCCCCCCCCCCCCCCCCCCCCCCCCCCCCCCCCCCCCCCCCCCCCCCCCCCCCCCCCCCCCCCCCCCCCCCCCCCCCCCCCCCCCCCCCCCCCCCCCCCCCCCCCCCCCCCCCCCCCCCCCCCCCCCCCCCCCCCCCCCCCCCCCCCCCCCCCCCCCCCCCCCCCCCCCCCCCCCCCCCCCCCCCCCCCCCCCCCCCCCCCCCCCCCCCCCCCCCCCCCCCCCCCCCCCCCCCCCCCCCCCCCCCCCCCCCCCCCCCCCCCCCCCCCCCCCCCCCCCCCCCCCCCCCCCCCCCCCCCCCCCCCCCCCCCCCCCCCCCCCCCCCCCCCCCCCCCCCCCCCCCCCCCCCCCCCCCCCCCCCCCCCCCCCCCCCCCCCCCCCCCCCCCCCCCCCCCCCCCCCCCCCCCCCCCCCCCCCCCCCCCCCCCCCCCCCCCCCCCCCCCCCCCCCCCCCCCCCCCCCCCCCCCCCCCCCCCCCCCCCCCCCCCCCCCCCCCCCCCCCCCCCCCCCCCCCCCCCCCCCCCCCCCCCCCCCCCCCCCCCCCCCCCCCCCCCCCCCCCCCCCCCCCCCCCCCCCCCCCCCCCCCCCCCCCCCCCCCCCCCCCCCCCCCCCCCCCCCCCCCCCCCCCCCCCCCCCCCCCCCCCCCCCCCCCCCCCCCCCCCCCCCCCCCCCCCCCCCCCCCCCCCCCCCCCCCCCCCCCCCCCCCCCCCCCCCCCCCCCCCCCCCCCCCCCCCCCCCCCCCCCCCCCCCCCCCCCCCCCCCCCCCCCCCCCCCCCCCCCCCCCCCCCCCCCCCCCCCCCCCCCCCCCCCCCCCCCCCCCCCCCCCCCCCCCCCCCCCCCCCCCCCCCCCCCCCCCCCCCCCCCCCCCCCCCCCCCCCCCCCCCCCCCCCCCCCCCCCCCCCCCCCCCCCCCCCCCCCCCCCCCCCCCCCCCCCCCCCCCCCCCCCCCCCCCCCCCCCCCCCCCCCCCCCCCCCCCCCCCCCCCCCCCCCCCCCCCCCCCCCCCCCCCCCCCCCCCCCCCCCCCCCCCCCCCCCCCCCCCCCCCCCCCCCCCCCCCCCCCCCCCCCCCCCCCCCCCCCCCCCCCCCCCCCCCCCCCCCCCCCCCCCCCCCCCCCCCCCCCCCCCCCCCCCCCCCCCCCCCCCCCCCCCCCCCCCCCCCCCCCCCCCCCCCCCCCCCCCCCCCCCCCCCCCCCCCCCCCCCCCCCCCCCCCCCCCCCCCCCCCCCCCCCCCCCCCCCCCCCCCCCCCCCCCCCCCCCCCCCCCCCCCCCCCCCCCCCCCCCCCCCCCCCCCCCCCCCCCCCCCCCCCCCCCCCCCCCCCCCCCCCCCCCCCCCCCCCCCCCCCCCCCCCCCCCCCCCCCCCCCCCCCCCCCCCCCCCCCCCCCCCCCCCCCCCCCCCCCCCCCCCCCCCCCCCCCCCCCCCCCCCCCCCCCCCCCCCCCCCCCCCCCCCCCCCCCCCCCCCCCCCCCCCCCCCCCCCCCCCCCCCCCCCCCCCCCCCCCCCCCCCCCCCCCCCCCCCCCCCCCCCCCCCCCCCCCCCCCCCCCCCCCCCCCCCCCCCCCCCCCCCCCCCCCCCCCCCCCCCCCCCCCCCCCCCCCCCCCCCCCCCCCCCCCCCCCCCCCCCCCCCCCCCCCCCCCCCCCCCCCCCCCCCCCCCCCCCCCCCCCCCCCCCCCCCCCCCCCCCCCCCCCCCCCCCCCCCCCCCCCCCCCCCCCCCCCCCCCCCCCCCCCCCCCCCCCCCCCCCCCCCCCCCCCCCCCCCCCCCCCCCCCCCCCCCCCCCCCCCCCCCCCCCCCCCCCCCCCCCCCCCCCCCCCCCCCCCCCCCCCCCCCCCCCCCCCCCCCCCCCCCCCCCCCCCCCCCCCCCCCCCCCCCCCCCCCCCCCCCCCCCCCCCCCCCCCCCCCCCCCCCCCCCCCCCCCCCCCCCCCCCCCCCCCCCCCCCCCCCCCCCCCCCCCCCCCCCCCCCCCCCCCCCCCCCCCCCCCCCCCCCCCCCCCCCCCCCCCCCCCCCCCCCCCCCCCCCCCCCCCCCCCCCCCCCCCCCCCCCCCCCCCCCCCCCCCCCCCCCCCCCCCCCCCCCCCCCCCCCCCCCCCCCCCCCCCCCCCCCCCCCCCCCCCCCCCCCCCCCCCCCCCCCCCCCCCCCCCCCCCCCCCCCCCCCCCCCCCCCCCCCCCCCCCCCCCCCCCCCCCCCCCCCCCCCCCCCCCCCCCCCCCCCCCCCCCCCCCCCCCCCCCCCCCCCCCCCCCCCCCCCCCCCCCCCCCCCCCCCCCCCCCCCCCCCCCCCCCCCCCCCCCCCCCCCCCCCCCCCCCCCCCCCCCCCCCCCCCCCCCCCCCCCCCCCCCCCCCCCCCCCCCCCCCCCCCCCCCCCCCCCCCCCCCCCCCCCCCCCCCCCCCCCCCCCCCCCCCCCCCCCCCCCCCCCCCCCCCCCCCCCCCCCCCCCCCCCCCCCCCCCCCCCCCCCCCCCCCCCCCCCCCCCCCCCCCCCCCCCCCCCCCCCCCCCCCCCCCCCCCCCCCCCCCCCCCCCCCCCCCCCCCCCCCCCCCCCCCCCCCCCCCCCCCCCCCCCCCCCCCCCCCCCCCCCCCCCCCCCCCCCCCCCCCCCCCCCCCCCCCCCCCCCCCCCCCCCCCCCCCCCCCCCCCCCCCCCCCCCCCCCCCCCCCCCCCCCCCCCCCCCCCCCCCCCCCCCCCCCCCCCCCCCCCCCCCCCCCCCCCCCCCCCCCCCCCCCCCCCCCCCCCCCCCCCCCCCCCCCCCCCCCCCCCCCCCCCCCCCCCCCCCCCCCCCCCCCCCCCCCCCCCCCCCCCCCCCCCCCCCCCCCCCCCCCCCCCCCCCCCCCCCCCCCCCCCCCCCCCCCCCCCCCCCCCCCCCCCCCCCCCCCCCCCCCCCCCCCCCCCCCCCCCCCCCCCCCCCCCCCCCCCCCCCCCCCCCCCCCCCCCCCCCCCCCCCCCCCCCCCCCCCCCCCCCCCCCCCCCCCCCCCCCCCCCCCCCCCCCCCCCCCCCCCCCCCCCCCCCCCCCCCCCCCCCCCCCCCCCCCCCCCCCCCCCCCCCCCCCCCCCCCCCCCCCCCCCCCCCCCCCCCCCCCCCCCCCCCCCCCCCCCCCCCCCCCCCCCCCCCCCCCCCCCCCCCCCCCCCCCCCCCCCCCCCCCCCCCCCCCCCCCCCCCCCCCCCCCCCCCCCCCCCCCCCCCCCCCCCCCCCCCCCCCCCCCCCCCCCCCCCCCCCCCCCCACATCTCCCTCACATCTCCCCCACATCTCCCAGTCCTCCTCGAGCTGAGAGACATTTTTGGTTGATCACATTCACAAAGTCATTCATAAAAAAATCATAATTTGTATCTTGACAGAACCCTACAGCCCTAAACCCACGATCCCCAAAAACCCGCATTGCTCCGGGGCTTCCTTCGTTGGCTCGCGGCCAGCTCACGACGAGAGGCTAAACTCTGGTTATTATTTAATTCCAGTGTCAACAGCATCAGGGCTGGAAATGAAGAGTCCAGCAATCAATTAGCAGGATTTTAATTACGGCGCCGGATGAAAAAAACCACACGATCCTCCAGCTCTCGTCTTCCAGCCGTCAGACCATCAGCTTTAATCCCATATACCAACAACGCCAACCACGTCTCATCGCGGAGGCGTTTTACATAATCACATTCAAAGGACAGCGGCAGAGACAACACGCTCCTCCAGACTGAACACATCTCTGAGCGCTTGTGTTTAGTGCATGTGTTCGAGGGGTTACCTTTGAACCTGCTTTGTGACATTATTATGAAAGGAGAAACTTCGGGGAAACTCTCGAAATGGTTCATTCCTTCATTCATTCAGTTTCAAGCCCTTTATTGTCCATTTCTGGGTCAGGGGGGTGGCAATGAGAGCTGCCACCCAATGCTCATAGCACCAGTCCCTCTGATCCTCTGCAGGGGGTGAGTCCACAGGAAGATGGCTGCTCTGTCAGTGGTGAAACCGCCTTGGTCTTTCAGCGGGGGGGCTTCAGGCAACGTGGGGTTAAGTGTCTTGCCCAAGGACACAACGACAGTAGACATCAGTGGGAGCAGTTGGAGTAGGTCCCATGGTGAGAATCGAACTCACTCACCTCCAGGCTCAAAGGCCACTGCTCTACCAACTGAGCTACTGTCGCCCCATTTTGAATCCCGCCCAAAATTTTCAAAATACTGTGTACAGTGGTCGCTCGCTACGGCAGGGTTAATGTTTCGTGGCCTTGCTGTTGTGCGGATTTATTTCAGGGCAATTTTGCTTAATTTATGCTGAATGTTTAATCCAACAACAACATATCATTAGAGCTGCACGATATTGGAAAATAGAGCAATATTCGATATGTTTATTATTACGATAACGATATTATTGCGATATCTGCATGAAACGCATAAGACAAATAACAAAAAATAAGCAGAACATTAATGACATTCAAATGCATGTATTTATATACTTTTTTGTTTGTTGTTCTTACTGAGTGTTGATGTGTGTGTTTTGTTGTCTATAGTAAAGGAAAAAAAATAAAACGTTTTTTTATTTTTTTTATTGCGGATCTTTTTTATATGGATATCGCACGCACCAATATCGCGATAACGATATTTTTCCGATTCATCACGCAGCCCTATATAACATCCACACTGCAAAAAATTATGAAAATTAAGAAAAAAAAATCTCGAATTTGACAAAATGTGTTTTAATCCGAGCACATTCTGACTGAGCCTTAAAACGAGATTTTCCAACGGGACAAAGCAAAATGATCTTGTTTTTAAAAGATACAAGAAATGTCTCCAGTTCTTAAAGAAAAGCATTTGTCTTTTTCACCCAGTGAGCTACTTTACCGAGATGATAAAGGCAGAGAGCTACTCCTTTAAACAGCTCCGGGAAACTATGTGGTGAAATCGGTGTGAACGAGTCTGAACGAATCAGGTACAGTCATTATTTATCACTGCATGTGTTTCTCGTCACAAAGTACAAAGTGCATTTACAGTAATACTTAATGATAATGAACAATACAATCTGAAATATTTAGTATATTGTTCATTTCTAAATCCTTTGGCGAGCTACCAGGAAAGGGGTAAAGCTTTTTGTCCCACTGAAGAATCTAGTGTCAACACAGTCACAGAGTCAGATTAATATAAAAACCATTCAATTAAAGCAATAACTAGAGCTGCGCGATATTAGAAATCAGAGCGATATTCGATATGAGTGGTTAGTTTTGCGATAACAATATTACTGCGATATTTTTGACCTAAAATTGCATCTGCATCGAAACGCAAGAGACCACTAACTCTAAGATTCTGCTTGTTGGTTCTGTGTCTGTGTGGTTTGGAAACATGACAGATAAAGAAAAGAGAGCTTTAAACAAGGTGCTCCGCTCTGCAAAGAGGACCATGGGCTGTGAGACCAGAGGGAGACCAGAGAGAGACCAGAGGGAGACCAGAGGGAGACCAGAGGGAGACCAGAGAGAGACCAGAGAGAGACCAAAGAGAGACCAGAGAGAGACCAGAGAGAGGACCGTGGGCTGTGAGCTTCCTGTTCTGGAGGTTCTTTATAAATCCAGACTTTTAAACAAAGCTCTTAGGATTGTTAATGACTCTTCTGGCCACCCTGGGAAAGCCATGTTCCAGCTTCTTCCCTCTGGCAGAAGATATCGCTCTCTGAGATGCAGGACATCTCGTTACGCTAACAGTTTTTATCCACAGGCTGTTATCAGTGTGAACAGAGCACTTTAATGATTTGCACTTGTTTTGAAACTGTTTTAGTCGATCAATTTCACAGTGACATTTGTTTACTGTTTTATTTGTTGTATTTCCGTATTTTTAATGTTGTTTTATGTCTGTATTTGTCTGTGCACACTGGAGACTTTTGCTAATGTATTCCAATGTGGTTTTACTGCAAATGGCAAATAAACTGAATCGGAATCAGACGTAAGCACAGCATTAATGATATTCAAAATCACATATTTAAACACTATTTTGTTTGTTTGTTGTTTGAAAGTTGTGTCTGTTTTGTTGTCTTTAATAAAGAAAAAAAAAAAAATTTCGTGGATATTTTTGATATGGATATCGCACGCACCAATATCGCGATAACAATATTTTTCCGATATATCGTGCAGCCCCGGGGATTACAACCTCATATTTTATCATTTTTGCAGTGCACTGGCTGTGATCAGAGGAATACTTCAGAGGAATCTCATTTAGTCAAAGTAATGCTTAAAGATTAATGTGAGAGAAGTAGAAAGACCTGTTTGTTTTTGGATCTAACGCCGTTTGATGAGAATGACTTTGCTTCGTTAATAAAGGCATCGTTTCATTTCATCAGGGAAAACACTGAGCTATATTTACGCCTATTTATTACTTAGGACTATTGTTTATTTTCTCGACCCCAAGACGTTTAATGAAATGGAGAAATATGGAGATTTTGCAGCAATATTGTAAATGTTTGCATGGCATTGAAGCACTTTCAAAATGTTTATTGCTACCATTTTTATGAAGCTATATCAGCCTTACTTTTATATATATTTGGGAGCCTTCTCTGCCACTCTGTCTAGAACATGTCGAGGATGTGAGTTACAGAACCACGACTTATTCAACGGCTGTAGCTATTGGTATTGTCTTTACACATGTTTGAATATTGTCAGTGTCTGATATGAGGGATGAATACACAAGATGTTGTTTTGTACGGCATCTTTCTGTGACTGTCCAACTCAAAAAGCAGGTCCCAGAAGCAGATCCAATTCCCAAAATACTACACCATGATAAAAATGTCTTGGTATGACACTGAGCACAAGATCAAACTGCTTTCTTCAAACTTGTAGAAGCAGAAAAAACGCCTGTATCACATCACACTGCCGAAAAATGATGAAAAATAAGTCAGAAATGGCTTGAATTTTGCGAATTGTATCTTAATTAGAGCAAATTCTGCCTTAAAACAAGATTCTCCAATGGGACAGAGCAAAATGGTCTTGTTTTAAAAATATCTGAGAAATGTCTCTCTTGGAATGAGAAAATAACGCTAAATAGTATTCATTGGAGAATCTTGTAATTATTTCCTCATATTTTATCATTTTTTGCAGTGTTACCTCTGATCAAATCCACGTTGCCATTGATGTTGCCAGTACACACGCACAAAAAGCCCAAAAAATAAGGAAAATGGAAAAGAGGTGACTCACGTTCGCAGGCGTCTCCCTTCTGGTGAAACCCGGCTTTGCAAATACATTTCCCAATGGGCACCAGCCACTCCCCCTCGGCGCTGCAGTGCATCTTGGGAGAATTGTCGGCCTCCTCCTCGGCATCGCTCACGCACACCCCTTCCACCTCCACCAGGGAGCTGAACTCGGAGCCGGTCACCGTGTCCGGGAACGTGGCCAAGTTTTCGATGATGGACCAACACTTTTTGTAGTAGACTTTGACGGAGACCAAGGCTATGCACGCGCCCACGTCCTGGAAGGCCAAGTAGAATCCTCGGCGAGACAGCGGCCCAATGATCCGCACCTCCGTGTTCAGTTTCATCTTTCGCTCTCCCAAATCGCCCTGGGTGAAGCTTTCGTCTGCCGCGATGGTGTCGATCTTGACGTACTGGGTCTCCCGCAAGCCTCGCCCAACTTCCGAATCGGTTTCTTGGTAATAAAGGTTGAAAGTCTCCTTGCAGGACCCCACCACTCCGGGCAGGCTGTTACAATCCCTCAAGGTAAACTTCAACTCGATAAATATTCTCTGAGCGTCGCCCTTCTCTATCCAGTTAGTCCGCAGCCAGTTGTTCTGATTGGGCTCCATGACTTGGCACACTTGGTAGGTGCGGATGGGAGTGTAGTTCTCGTCCAGGCCGCTGATCTCTTCCCACTGCGGCAAAAAAACACACAAGAAAAGTTTAGGCAATGTTGAAGTTTCGGAGGAAAAGTCTGCAGAGAGAAACAGGGGAGGATTTGTGTTGCTCCGGCAGTCAATCTGCAGTTTTGCGAGACTAACTGTAGACTCCAAAGACAATGGAAGCGGGTTTCTCAAGAGTCTAAATAATGCATCATGTGGGTACCAAAGTCTGAGTTCTTAAGAGAAAAGTTTCAACTATTCTGGTCTTAGTGTTTATATTCTTAATGATAGAAGCACTTTTTACAGCATTTACAGCGATAAACAGATCCTCTATTCAAGATACAAGCATTTATTCGCCATTTGCAGTAAAACCACATTGGAAAAACTGTGCAAGACGACCCCCAGAGTGCGCCCGACAGAGAAGACGGCACACACCAGAGCTCTTGCCTATTCGCTCCACAGTGGGGACATTTCAATAGCTTTGAATGCTTCTTAAATAGCTGTAAATGTTTTATAATAATAAAAATAAGTCGTTTATAATCTATAAATGTACAAGTTTTTATCTCTAATCTGAAGAGCACCATTTTTACTGCACAATAGGCTCGTGTAGCAACCCAGTAACCCTGCTTTTATGCAATATATTTTGTGATTTTGTGGCTACAGTCCAACCGTTATATAAAAGGAAATGTATAGAATCTGAAATGAATGGAAATGTATCTTTTTAAAGCTGCATTAACAGATGTTTTTGTCCTTCTCTTGACATTGTTCTGTTCTGTGGTATGGAAACTAGAAAATAATGTTGTTGAAGTGAATTGAAATGAAATGGGGTTAAATCTGGTTCCGCCATCTTTGTACTGTAACTGCACATTGTCCTCAATCAAACTAAACTCTATCAACTCTTTTAAATGATATGTACCTGTAGAAAATGCATCGCAAACCGCTCAAATAAACTAATAACACTAAAACTACTGCTACTACTACTACTACTACTACTACTACTACTACTTTTTTTCATATATATACATCCTAGCCCGAAGTTATTGATTGAGAAAAATAGCTAAATGCCTCACGGTTGACTCTGGCCTGGTGTTATTGCCAGAGAATCCCGCCGACTACTACTACTACTACTACTACTACTACTACCACTGCTACTACATTTGCAGACACCCATCCATCCATCCATTATCTACCCCTTAATCCATTTCTGGGTCAGGGGGGTGGCAGTCAGAGATGCCACCCAAGTCTCATAGCACCAGCCCCTCACTGACCCTCTGCAGGTGGTGAGTCCACAGGAGGACAGCTGCTCTCTGAGTGTGAGCATAGCCTTGATCTTTCAGTGGGGGCTTTGGGCAAAGTGGGGTTAAGTGTCTTGCCCAAGGACACAACGACAGCAGTCATCAGTGGGAGTCGGTGGAGAAGGTGCAGAGGTGGGAATTGAACCCACAACCTTCTGGCCTTAAGGCCAATGCTCTACCAACTGAGCTACTGTCGCCCCACATTTGCAGACACGTTGGAAAAAACACATCCTCTTTTTGTGTGTCGATTATTGTGTGTCGATTATTGTGTGCGCAAATTCTGGCAACACTGAACAGAGTGAATGTTGTGGCAGCAGTAGCCTGAGGGCGTGGATGTGGGCCATGTGGAGGCGGTGTGGGGTAAAGCAGGCCGGGGACTGGACTTACCCCGTTGGGAGGATAGGAGATCCACTCCAGTTCTGTCTGCTGGGCCTTGGAGTCCAGCAAAATCACTGGTGACAGGAAAGCGGGGGAGAAGAAGCAGTGGTTAAATCTCACAGGAGTCAGTGACACATTTAGGCTGTTGCAGAACGAGGCAGTGTTTAGAAACGGGAAGCAGGTCATCAGAGAATCTCTCGACCAATCAACGGAGAGTGTGCGTTTGCATTATCGTAAAAAAGCAATTAGCAATAATGTGTTATACTTCAGTCTTAGCAAACTTTGGGAAAATATGTGCTACTTTATTTCTCTCTGTGGGTCATAAATAACAATAAAGGCCGCTTTCTATCTGTCTGTCTATATATATGTATATCTATCTATCTATCTGTCTATCTGTCTGTCTGTCTGTCTGTCTGTCTGTCTGTCTGTCTGTCTGTCTGTCTGTCTGTCTGTCTGTCTGTCTGTCTGTCTGTCTGTCTGTCTGTCTGTCTGTCTGTCTGTCTGTCTGTCTGTCTGTCTGTCTGTCTGTCTGTCTGTCTGTCTATATATATGTATATCTGTCTATCTATCTATCTATCTATCTATATTGTATGAATAGACCAAGATAAGAGAAGACAATAAAGCACTTACTCCTATACTTATTTATGGTATTGACCAACCATAAAATACCATTAATTTAACTTGTGATAAATGACTTTAATCCCTTTGGTGTCAGCACAACATCAAACAAAGATTACTTACTTACTAATTATAATCTATTTAATATTTAATTTGGGTTTTTGAGTCGTTGCAGAAGCAGGAGGGACCATCTTTACACCAATGGCTCCAATGTCTTTGTCATTAATGCATTTTCTAATTTTCTGATCTGTGACTGAGGAATCGACACCGTTCTAAAGTCCTCCAAATCGGCTTCTGTTGTAATTTAAATTAAGGTAATCCAAAAACACATTAAATTGAATTAATCACAGTTCATAACATAGACCGTAAATGCAGTTTTGTACACACCAGGTCCATGTGAAATGTGTTGCTTACTTTCATTAAAACAATAATAATTCAAATGATTCTTGCACATCTCTGAACGCACTGCCTCCGTTCCGGCCTCTTTTTGTTTTTCTTTCAATTTTATGCAAATCCTGAACCTCAAACCCAAACAGAACCAATTTAAACTTGATTTCCACCCATCCATCACGATATATAGTCTTTAAACAAATCCCAAATGTACCTATCATGACCGAGGTAGATGCATTACTGGACATGGGTTCCCTGCGTCTCCTCACACGGCCGTGCGGCTTATCGCTGCGCCAGGTCAATAACATTGAAGACACAGACTAAGGTTGGAAAGGCTCAGTTCCTCAGCAGCGTTCGGCCTCTGATTGGCCCTTCGTGGCTCCGTGTGCGACTCTCCCAAAGTTATTGTTTAAAACCTCCCGTCTATGTTTGAACAAGTCCAAACGTCGCATTTCTCCAGCTTCAGTCTGCTGCTGGTTTTGATAGTACACTCTTAATAAACGTTTTTCATGTATTCTGTAACATCTGTCTGTGCTTAGATAAAATAAATTGTAAGACTTTCTGATCTGGCACTGATCTGTTTTAGCAAATCAACTACTTTTTTACATATCTTAAGGTGTTCAACGCACGCCCGGGCAGTCGATCTGACGGCTTCTCATTTCAGAGAAGTTTTCAAGAGCAATTACTGATATGACTGAATCCTGTACTTTTAAGCACTTTTCATCCGTGTCATTATGTTTATGAAATGATCCCGATCTTAGACTGGTCCTGGGTCGGTTCAGAGCAAGTGCTGGTTACCATAGCAACACACTGTTTATTTGCATCAGTTAGCGTTTAGTTTGAGCCGCCTTTAAGAACGACCAATAATTTTATTTTATTTTTGCTACGACTGGACACTGGACTTTCTCCTACAGGGATCAATAAAGTATCTATCTATCTATAAATTTAGTTTTGCGGTATACATTTATATGAACCAGTTTAAGCATGTGTTAAAGGTACAATAAAAACGTGGGAATTACTTCATTTTAATAATAAAAACAGTGGAAACACAAAGACTGCTTTTTACAACACAAATATCTGCGTCCTGTACTTGCACTGTAACACTGGTGAGACGCTAAACTACATTTCGTTTCATTTTTCTAACTTTGTAATGACACTAAAGCTGAATCTAATCTAATCTAATATGTGTTCTAATTTTATTTTTATCTGAATCCCTTCAAACCGAACGGGAGCCGTCAAAATAACTGCTCTGGGAGTTCTGGCAGTTGTATAATTGCGGGAGTCCTGATGTCATGAAGCAGTTATAGCCTTGTGATAAAGTGGTAAAGCCACATGGGCACAGTGAGAATCCAGTGACCTCGTTCCGTTTCAATGCAGCGCGGTGCCAACTTTGACTGGCGTTTACGCATCGCGCGCTCTACCTTATTTCCCATCGATTTCACGCGTGACAGAGGACGCTGCTAAGGTCAACGCGTGCTGGATGTTTTGGGCTTTTTGACCACAGGAAAGACGTAAGCGAAGAGACTTGTAAAATGGTTAAAATATAAGCGCAGAATCTTGGAGAGTGGGGATTTTTTTTTTTGGACACGGCAGAGAGAGCAGGCTGTTGCAGACGAAAGCGCAGCGTCTCAAATGAAGTTGTTTTGTGTCAGCAGTCCGATTTCACAGGAGCAGAGGAGGCACAGACTCTCACGCTGTAGCCTGTTTATGCGTGACTATATATTCTGGGATTCGAAGAGACGACAGAACAACACATTTACGCCGTTACGCACAATATTGAACACTGTGATATAACGTCTGCGGGAAAACGCCAGGTGAAAAGAGACACACACGGATAGAGCCACGGCACTGGGCAGAAACAGCAGAATAACGCGCCGTGTTGTCCTCGCTTCTCTCAGACAACAGGCGCAGCAGAGCGAGTTCGATCCCGGGACACCCCAAGGCATACCCCGGCGTACGCGCACCCCATATTGGGCTCCAATCAACTCCAAGATTGCGCTCGCTGGTCCCTGCCTGCATGGGGATCACTCTCGCTGTTGGACTGTTTAATGCACACAAAGAGCAGGGTATAGTTACGCAGCGCTGGGGACTTGTAGTAGAGGGCGAATAAAGAATCGTCTTGTGCGTAAAAAGCGTCCGCGTAATCCCGTTTGGAATATGGAGAGAAACGAGACGGATCACAGTCCGGTTTAGTCCAAGGGCAGTGACAGCTCCCAGGGCAGTCCCCGCGGGCAAACTTTAAAGAACTTACCTTCTTTCGGGTTCTGCGCCTCTCCGCTCTGGATTAAAGTCGACGCGTAAAGGCAAAGTGTAGTAATAATCCACGGACACGGCCTGGGCACGGGTGGCATGGTGGTGGCGCTGGAGGTGGGTTATTGTCGAACGTGCGTCGCGTTGCCCCCGTGTCGTTCGCAGCCCATTGACGTCTGTCCGGCGGCGGCTCCGTACACACAACACTCCGCTGCTGCGCTCTGGACAGGACTGAGCTGTGGAGGAGGAGGGCTCTTCCACCAGCGGGCTGTCACTCAAACGGAGGGGCGCACAGCGAGGCCAATGGGGTGAGGAGGGAGCGAGGCGCGTCACCGGAGCGCGCGGCCAATGGGTGAGGAGCGAGGGGGACGATCAGGGGAGAGTTTTTTTACAAGTACAAGTTGGAGCAGATTTGTGGGAGCAGGTGATGAGGACGTGGTGTCAGACTGTTCACTTTAACAGAAGGACTCCCACAACTCTGCAGCTACCAGAACTCTCAGAGCAGTCATTTTGACGGCTCCAATTAAATATACTGGAATTCTGAAAAAATAACCTGCAAAAAATAACCCCATTTATTTTGTTGAGATTAAGTAATTCATTATTTTATTATTATTATTATTTTTATTTTTAAATCTCTAATACATGTTAAAACTAGGTAATATGAATCAAAACAGCAAAACTCAATGCTAACTGATGAAAGTAAACAGTGTGTTGCTATGGTAACTAGTATTTGATCTAACCCGGTCGTACCACACCACAGTACAAATTACATTTCATTCTAAGGTCTGGGTTTGCTCCATTGACTCCGTGAACAGGTGGGAGGGGCTAACTCCTTTTGCAACTTGAAACCATTGGATCTGAGTTTACCGTGATGTATGTAATGAGCCCGAGTGAGTCGTTAGCATTTAGCCTAGCTTTAGCCATCTCCTTTGCCGCTAACGGAACCCGTGGGGAGTAGCGCCACAATCTTTTCCAGAGATTACATTTGCTAAACATTCCTCTTGCTCCGGCTTCAGTTTCTTGATAGAACCAGAGCAGAATACTTTACTATCGCATTCTTCACCAAACTACAACCTTCCCGTTCGACGCAAACTCTTGACGTCACCCACATCTAACTACAACACCCGCCTCCCGCGCTCTCTGATTGGTCGGACGGAATTCAACCGACTGTAATCGCAAACACAGGGACCAGACCCAGACGTTACCTGCAGGACATGATGATTGACAGGAGAGTACGGATGGATAAGGCCAGGGTAGATCTGAACCAGTCCAGGGTCGAGATCAACATAATAACATAATAATAACATAATAATAACAGAGTAATAACAGAGTAATAACAGAGTAATAACAGAGTAAAGTACATACAGAAACAGGAAATAGTCACAATGTTCTGAAAACCAAAACCTACACAAAGAGTTCCTCTGTCCCTGCATTAAAGTCAGAGAGCTCATGATCAATCAGTGTACAGATGTAAACGTGCTGCTGCGCTCTCTCTATCTCTGGTCTCTCTCTCTCTCTGGTTTCTCTCTCTCTGGTCTCTCTCTCTCTCTCTCTGGTTTCTCTCTCTCTCTCTGGTCTCTCTCTCTCTGGTCTCTCTCTCTCTCTCTCTGGTCTCTCTCTCTCTGGTCTCTCTCTCTCTGACCCCAAAAAACTACCCCACACCACCACACACCAACCCCCCACACACACAACCCCAACCCCCCCCCACACCCCCCCCCCACCACCACCACCCACACACCACCCAACACACCCCAACACCACACCCCCCCACCACCCCCCCACCCCCACCCCCACCCACCCCAAAACACCCCCACCCCCCACCCCACCCACACCCACCCCCCCACCACCCCCCCCCCCCCCCCACCCCACCCCCCCCCACCACAAACCCCACCCACACACACCCACAACCCCCCCACACTCAAAAACCACCCTCTACCCACCCCACCAAACCCCCCCCACACCAACCCCCACCACCAAAACCCCCACACCAAACCCACCACCACCCACCACCAAACCACACCAAACCCCACACCAACACCCAACCAAACCCACCACCAAACCCCACCACCAAACCCACCACCAACCCCACCACCCCAACCCCACCACCAAACCCCACCACCAAACCCCACACCAAACCCCACCACAAAACAAACCAACCCACACACCCACCCCCCACACCCACACCAACCCACCCCCCCACACACCCCCCCCCCCCACCCACCCACAAACCACACCCCACCCCCACAACCCCCCCCCCCACAAACCCACACCCACACCCAACACACAACACCCAAAACACACCCACAACAACAACCCCACCACCACACAACCCACCCACACACACAAACAACAACCAACAACCAAAACCACAACACAAACCCAAACCCACACACCAACCACAAAACCCCAACACCCCAACCCCAAACCCCCCAAACCCCCTACCCCCCACCCCCAAACCCCCCAACCCCCAAACCCCCAACCCCCCCAACCCCCAACCCCCCAACCCCCCCACCCACCAACCCCCCCCCAACCCCCCAACCCCCCAACCCCCAACCCCACCACCATCCCCCCAACCCCCCACCCCCAACCCCCCCAAACCCCCAACCCCCCCCCCCTAACCCCCAACCCCCCAACCCCCAACCCCCACCCCCCAACCCCCAACCCCCAACCCCCCAACCCCCAAAACCCCAACCCCCATCCACCAACCCCCACCCCCAACCCCCAACACCCACCCCCCCCCCCCCACCCCCCCCCAACACACCCAAACCAACCAACCCCACACACCCCAACCCCCCCAAACACAACACCCCCCCCAACCCCCCACCACCCAAACACACCCACCACCACCAACACCCACCAACATAACAACCAATCCCACAACACACCCAAACACAACACACCCACACACAACCCAACCACACAACCACCCCCAATCCCCCCCACCCACACACCCCCCCCCAACCAAATCACACACACCCAAAACAAAAATCCCAAACAAAACACCCCCCCCCCCCACACCACACTAACCCAACACCAAAACCCCCCCCACACCCCCCCACAACAACAAACCCACCCACCACCCCCACAACACAACAAACAAAAAACACAACACACACAACAACCCCCACACCACCCACACTACACCCCCCACCCCCCCACCACCCCACCCCCCACCCCCCCCCCCACCCCCTCCCCAACCACCAACACACCCCATACAACCCCCCAACCCATACACACACCCCAAAACCCCAACCCACACCCAACACCCAACCAAAACCCCCCCCAACCACCCCCCCCCCCCCCCACCCCCTCCCCCCCCCACCACCCCAACCCAACACACACACCAACACAACAACCCACCCACTACACCCACACTCAACACCAAACATCACATAACCAAACCTAACCATATACTTCCCCAAACATTACCCTTTCTTTCCCTTCAACATCTACCCCCCCCTATCTCCCAACCCATTTCCCAACACCCCCCAACTACAATTCCCTTAATCACATCAACCACAACCCCTCATCTCCATTCCAAACAACCCAATATCTCTCCCACCCCCACACAACTCCACACCCCACCCCTTTAACTTCCCCTCTCCATTCTACCACCCCCCCCATTACCCAACCCCTCCTTTTCCCCATCCCCCACATTTTTTCAAATTCATCCATTATCCTTAACACCTCAATCCTAAACAAAACTCCTATAAATATTCTCTTACACACACATCCAACCATACCTCCCCCTCCCCACCCCCACCCCTATTCAAACTTTTCCCCCACCCACCAAACCCACCAACCCTCCAACAACTTCCCCCCCCACTACAATAAACTTAACACCAAATCCAACCTACAAAAAAACCCAAACCCCCCCCCAACACACCCTACAACAAACCCCAAAACAACAACCACAAAAACAAACACACAACACCATAAACACAACCAAAACCCAACCCCCCACCCACACACCCACCACCCCCACCAACAAACCACCACCAAACCAAACCCACCCAACCACACCCCCACAACCCAAACAAACACCACCCCCACACAAACACCAAAACAAACCCCACAACCAAACCCAAACCAACCAACCAACCCACCCCACCACCCCCCACCCCCCCCAACACCCCCACCAACCCCCCACCCCCCCCCCCCCAAACCACCCCACAACACCCCCCCCACCAAACCAACCCACACAACCACCCAAACCCTAACCAACCCAACCCAACAACAAAACCACAACCCCCCCACCCACCCCCCCAAACACCCCCCCAACCACCCCACAACCCCCCCCCACACCAAAACACCCAACACAACAAAAACACCCCACAACATAACAACCCACATACACCCCACACACCACCAACACCACCCACCACAACAACAACAAACACACCCCAAACCTAAAAACAACAAAACACACCCAACCCCCACACACCCCCCCCACCAAACCACCAACAAACACCCCCCCCACCCCCCCCCCCCACCAACCCACACCAACCCCTCCCCCCAACCCCAATCCCAAACACCAACATACCCCCAACAAAACACACCCACCACACCCACCCCCCACCACCACAACCCCCCCCAACACCCCCCAACCCCACCACCACAACACACACACCCCCCACCAAACCACCCCCCCCACCCAACCACAAAAACCCACAACCACAACCCCCCCCCCCCCCCACCCACCAACCCCCAACCACCAACCACACCACCACAACACCCCCCCAACACCCAAACCCCACCACCCCCCCCCCCCCCCACAAAAACCACCCCACACCACTAAAAAACACCACCCAAACACCCCACAACCACCAAACCCCCCCACACACCCACCACAAAAAACACACCTCAACCCCCCACAACCACCCAACCACCCCAACACCCACCCCCACACACCACCCACCAACCCCCCCCAACCCACCACACCCCCACCACAACCAACCCCCCCACCTCAAAACCTACACAACCACCACACCAACCACCCCCCCCCACCACCCACCCAAACCCCCCAACCCCAACAAACCACCCCCCACACCCCCACACACCCCCCCCACACACCCCACCCAAACCACACAAACCACAAACCCCCCACACCCACCCCACCAACCACAACCAACACACTAAACACACCCCACCAAAACACACACCCACCCCCCCCCCAAAAACACCCCAAAACCCACCCCACAACCTACCCCCCCCACCAAAACCATACACCCCACACACCCCCCCCCCACACCCCACCCCCCACCCCACCCCCCCACCCACACCCAACCAACCCCCCACCCCCAACCACCCCCACCCCAACCCCCCCCCACCCCAAAAAACCCAACACAACCCCCCCCACCACACCACAACCAAAAAACCACCACAACCACCCCAACCCACACCACCACCCCCCCAACACACCAACACCCACCACAACCCACCCCCAACCCACCCAACCCCCCCAACCCAAACCAAACCACCAAACACACCAAACCACAAACACACAACCCCCCCCCATACAATCCCCCCACCCCCACCAAACAAACCCCCCCCCCCCACAACCCCAACCCAAAACAAACCCAATACACAAACCCCAACAATAAACCCCCTCCCCAAAAAAATACACCCAATACTAAAACAAAACCCACACAAAAACACCACACCCCACTAACAACCAACAACCCACCAAAAAACCCAACAACACCATAACAACACACCCACCAAACACCCCACCCACCATTCCAACAATCAACCAAACCCATCAAAACCCCCCCAACCCAAACATAATCCATCAACCAACCCCCCCCTCCTCCCCCAACCAACCCAACCATACAAAACCCCCACCCCACCCCCACCCAACACCACCCCCCCCCCCCACCCCCACCCCCCCCCCCCATAACCAAACACACCCCACATCAACACCCCCCACCCAACACCCAACCCCCCCCACCCCAAACCCCCCAACACACACATCCATACCCCCCCCTACCCCCCTTACCCCCCCCCCCCCTATAACTCAATATCAAATAAAACAAATATAACTATAAATCCACATAAAAAATAAAAATAAAAATATCTATATATATAACATATAACAAAACAACCCTCACACCCCCCCCCCCCAAACCCCTACACACCCCCCCAACCCCCCACAACAACCCTAATCCATACAAACCCCCATCACCCCCATCTAACCCCCCATAACCCCCTAACACATACAACCCCCATATCTACCCAAACCCCACACAACCCCCCCACCCACCCTCCAACCCTCACCATCCCCCACCCCACAACTCCAACAAAACCAACAAACAACAACACAAACAACTACCCCCCCTACACCCAACCCCCACCCACCAAACCCCCCCCCCCCCCAAAACCCCCCCCACCCCCACCCACACCCCCCCCCACCACACCCCCACCCCAACCCCCATCCCACAACCAAACCCCAACACCACCCACACCCCACCCAATATCACCCCCCCACAACAACCACCCCAACCCCCAACCCCCACCACAAAACAAACACCACACAACCACACACACCACACACACCCCAACACACCACACACAACCACAACACCCACACATCACTACCACACACACCCATCTCACTCACCCACACTCACCACACAAACACCTACAACCCCCACACACACCCCCCACACACACCACACACACCACAACACACACACACACCCCAACACACCCCACACACACCACCCCCACACACACCCACACACACCCACACACACAACCACACCACAAACCCCAACAACACCCATAAACACCAACACACACACCACACACACACCCTCAACACCCATCACCCTACACTCCAACAACCCACATCACACATACCACACACACCCCTACAACACTCCACTCTCTCACCCCCTCTCTATCCCATATCATCACACACACACACATTCAAACCCCCTACTCACACACCCCCCCAACACAACACACACCCACACTACCTACCCACACACACACCACAAACCCCCCCCAACCCCCCCCACCCCACCAACACCAACCCACAAAACACCACACCACACAAAACCACAAAAAACCCCCACAAACAACAAAAAACCCCACACAAACCCAAAAACCCAACCCCCACACACCAAACCCCCACACCCCACCCACCCCACCACACCAACCCCCCACTCCCCCCCCAACCCTCCCCACCCCCCCCACCACAACCCCCCCACCAACCACCCCCACCCCAAAACCCACCCCCCCCCCCCCCCAAACACAACCCCACAAACCCCACACCAAACACCACCCCCAACCACAACAAACCAACCACAAACCAACCCAACACAACCACCACACAACCACAAACACACCACAAAAACACCCCCAACACAAACAACACCACAACAAAAACACCAACCAAAAACACCCAACCACAACACCAACCACCAAAAACCACCAACCACAAACACCACAACCACAACACCAACCAACAAACCACCACCACCACCACACCACCACCCCCAAACCAAAACACACCAACCCACACCACACCCCCCAACCACAAAACCACAAACCAAAAACACCACCAACCACACACCACCAAACCAACCACACCCAACCACACCACCACACCACCACCAACCACAACCAACCCCCCCCCACCCCCCACCCCCCCCCCCCCACCACCCCACCCCCCCCCCCCCCCCCCCCCCCCACCACCCACCCCCCCCCACCCCCCCCCACCACCCACCACCCCCCCACCCAACCCCCACCCCCCCCCCACCCACCCCCCACCCACCCCCACCCCACCACCCCCCCCCACCACCCCCCAAAAAACAAACCACCCCACCAAAACACAACACCCACACCCAACACAAAAAACAAACACCACCACCCCCACCACCCCCCCCACCCACCCCCACCAACCCCCACACCCCCAACACACCCCCAACCACACCAACAACACAAACCACCCCCCCACAAACAACCCCAACACCACCCCCCACCCAAACAAAACACACCACCACCAACCCCCCCCCCCCCCCCCCACAAACAAACCAAACCCCCCAACCACACCCCCCACCCCCCCAACCCACCCACCAAAACACCAAACACACACCCCCCCACCCACACACAACCAACCCCCCCCCCCCCCCACCCCCCCCCCCCACCCAAAACACCACCCCCACCCCCACCCCCACAACCCCCCACCCCACACACAACCCCACCCCCCCCCCACCCCCCCCCCCCAACCCACCCACCACCCCAACAACCCCACCCCCCCCCCCCCCCCCCCCACCCCACCCACAAACCCCCCACACACCCCACCACACACACACAACCCCCCCAACACCACACCCCCCCCCCCCCCCCCCCCCCCCCCCCCCCCCCCCAAACAAAAAACAACAACCACACACCACCCAACCACCCCCCCCCCCCCACCCACCACCAACCCACCCCAACACCCCCACCCCCAACCCCCCCCCACCCCCCCCCCCCCCCCCCACCACACCCCAACCCCCCCCCCACAAAACCCCACACCACCAACCCACCCCCCACCAACCCCCCCCCCCCCCCCCCCCCCCCCCCCCACCACAAAAACACCCCCACCAACCCCCCAAACCCCCCCACCACCACCCACACAACCCCCACCACCCCCACCACCCCCCACCACCCCACCCCCCACCCACCACACCCCACCACCCCCACCACCCCACCCACCCAAAACCCACCCAAAAACCCACACCCACCCCCAACCCCCAACAACAACCACACAACACCACCCCCAAACCCCAACCCCCCCCCCACCCCCCACCCCCCCCCCAACACACACACCCCCCCCCACCAACCAACACCACCCACCCCCCACAAACCCCCCCCCCCCAACACACCACCCCAACCACACACAACCACCCCCCCCCACCAACCACACCCCCCCACACAAAAAACCAACACACCCAACACCACACACACCACCCACCCCCCCACCCACCAACAACCCCCACCCACCCCCAACCCCCCACCCACACCCCCCCACCAACACACCCCCAACAACACAACCCCCCCCCACCCCCCCAACCCCCCACACCCACCCCCCCACCCCCCAACACCCACACACAACCACCCACAACCCAACCACCCCCACACCACCCCACACCCCACACACCCAACCAAACACCCCACCCCACCCCCCCACACACCACCCACCCCAAACAAACAAAACCCAACCACCCCACACAACCACCCCCCCCCCCCCCCCCCACAACAAACCCCACACCACCCCCCCCACAAACCCCCCCCACCCCCCCCCCCCCCCAACCACCACCACCACACACACCCCCCCCCCACCCCCCACCCCCCAACACCCACACACCCCCACCAACCAAACCCACCCACCCCCCACAAACCCCCCCCCCCCCCAAACACCACCCACACCAACACAACACCCCAACCACCCAACCCCCACAAACAAACACACCAACCCCAACCCCCCCACACAACCACCCCCAACCCCCAACCAACAACCACCACCCCCCCCACCACCCCCCCCCACCAACCCCCACCCACCCACCAAACACCCCACAACCACCACACCAACCACACCCCCCCCCCCCCCCCCAAACCCCACCCCACCCACCCAAAACCCCCACCCCACCCCCCACCCCCCCCCCCCCCACACCACCACAACCCCCACCACACCCAAACCCAAACCCCCACCCACACCCCACCCACACCACCACCAACAACAAAACCAACACCCCAAAAACCACCCCCCCCCCCCCCCACCACACACCCACAACCCCCCCAAACAACCCCCCCCACCCCCCCAACCCCCCCCCCCCACCCAACCCCAAAACCCCCACCCAACCCCCACACCCCCCACCCACAACCCCCCCAAAACACCCCCAACACCACCCCCAACACACCCCCCCCCCCCACCCCCAACCCCCCCAACCCCCCACCCCACCCCCAACCACACCCAACCCACCCTCCCCAAAAACCCCCCAACCCCCACCCCCCCCCACCCCCCCACCCCCCCCCCCCCCCCCCCCCCACCACACCCACCACCACCCCACCCCCCCCCCCCCCCCCCCCCCCCCCCACCACACACCCCACAAACCCAACCCCAAAAAACCCCCCCCACAACCCACCCCCCCCACCCCACCCCCCAAACAACACCAAACCCAAACACACCAACCACACACCCAACCCCCAAACCCACCCAACCACCACCAACCCCCCCCCCCCCCCCACCCCAAACACAAACACCCACACCCACACACACCCCCAAAACCAACCCCACCACACCCAACACCCCCACCCCCCACACCCACCACACCACCCCCCACCCACACACCCCACCCACAACCCCCCCCCAACCCCCCACCCCCCCCACCACCCCACCCCCCCCCCCCCACCCCAACCCCCCCAACCCCACCACCACCAACCCCCCCCCCCCCCAAACACCCCCCCCACCCCCCCCACCACCCCCAACACCACCCCCACAACCACAACACCCCAACCCCCCCAAACCCCCCCCCACCCCAAAACCCCCCCAATCATCAACCCCCACCCCCCCACACCCCCCACCACACCACCCACACACCCCCCCCCCCCCACACACCACCCCCACCCAACCCCCCACCACCAAACACCCACACAAACCCCCCCCCCACAACCCCAACACCCAATCCCCCACCCCCCACCAACCCACTCAACCACCCAACCCAACCACAAAACCCCCCAACAAACCCCCCAAAATACAACCCCCACACCTCCAAACAACCCCCAACAACCCAACCCCCCCCCCAACCCCCCCCACCACACCCACCACCCCAACACACACCACCCACCCCACAACCCCCCACCACCCCCCCCACACCCACCCCCAACACACAAAACACCCCCACCCCCCCACCCCACCCAACCCACCCCCACCACCCCCCCCCCCCCCACCCCCACCCCCCCCACCACCAAACCCCACCCAACAA